GCCACCACTGCCCGGCTGAATTGACTCTTTCTTATGGACTAGGGATGCCATGTTCTGATCTGGGCCATCAGCAGCTTCCCCTGAGGACAGTGGTTCCCAACCTTCCCAAAGCTGTAAGTTAATACAGTTCCTTATGTTGTGGTGACCACCTCCAACCATAAAATTATTTTCATTACTACATCATAACTGTAATTTTGCTACTATTAAGAATCAGGATGTAAATATTTTTTGGAGACAGAAGTTTGTTGAAGGGGTCACAACCCACAGGTTGAGAACCTTTTCTCTCAGCCATCTGCTTCATTACATTATCACATTTGGTTGGGACACTTCAGATTTAGCCTGGGCACTTGGCTAAGTCTCCTGGTTCATAGGCTTGCAGACAACCTCTTATGGCACTGCTCGTAATCAAGGGGGCCAACTCCCCAGGGAAATCTTTGTCATACATTGTATGGTAGGCTCTGGCTGTGTCTGTCTGCAGAGCCCTAACTAAAACAACTTAGTGTTCTGTCTTCAGGTTTTATCCATGGAATGTATATCATAATTCAATTTGTTTTTCATTTTCATTTATTATGGTTATTTTGAGATCCTTCTTATTTTAGAAGTTAGAATAATTTTATTCTAGAGTGTATCTGAGTAATAATGAGCTTAGTCCCTTAACTAACTGATGATATATCACATTCCTGGTTGTAACATATATTTCTAATGAGTTCTGGGGAGCTTTCAAGTCCCATGAGTTTCTTTTATGACTTCAGTAAGAAGGTGCCACAAATCTGGCCTACTTGAAGCAATAGGTTTACAGTCATTGTTTTGATGAAAAGGGTCTAAAATCAAAGTTTGAGCAGGGTAGTGTTACCTCTGAAGGTTCTTAAGGAAGGAATTTTTTGCTGTTCCTGGCATCCAGTGATTCCTTCCCTGAAACTGTTGAATTCCATATGAACTGGCTTTTTTACCCCAGCTTGGGCCCCTGTTTTTACATGACTTTCAATTTTATTCTCTGCCTCAATCTCCCTTCAATTTCCTCATACAAAATTGGGTGTAGGGCTTATGCTTAGTCCAGGATAATTTCACTTGAGACAAAAAAAAAAAAAAAGAAGGCATTTTCATTTACTATCATTACAACTTTAAATATTGGTTTTGCTTTACCCATTTGTGTTTCTAGTCTTCCAGTATAATAATACTTCCTAGGGCAATGACTTGTAATGGAAATAATATGCTACTCTTTGGTGCAGTGGAGCCTTGTGTCTACCCCTCACTTCTGCGATGTTATTGTAATCGAGCAGCAGCTCAAAGGCCTCCGAGTTTTCATGCTTTAAGTCCTTGAAAACCTCGTCACCTGTGTAAGTACAACTTTCCCAGGACTATGAGTAGAAAGGGTTTTGTATCTGGGCTTCTTAACATGCCCCCCCCCCCCCCCCCACACACTGCATGCCACCTCTATCTTTCAGCTTAAGGTAAAGGACTCAGAAGTCCTGGAAAAGAAAGGCAGAACAGTATGGATAGTTCCTGTGTGCTGACTCTGTCAACCTAAGGAGCAAGTTGAGGCTTAGCAGGTGTGGAAACAGTTCATTCCCGTCAAAATGAGGAAGGCCACCTGGTGAAGAAAAGACACATTCTAGGTGGCCAGAGTGAGTGTTCCTGAAAGATGTCTGAAGGATCTGGGTTTTATAGATGAATAGCAAGAAGGTGGTTCCATCAAAATAGCTATTAAAGTTGCACTGGGCAAATAGACTAGCAAAGAACACTGATTGGCCATTGGTCATGTATGTTATAGTTCTAAGTAATAGTTATACCAGCAGGGAAAGACAAATGCTGGTTCTTTATGGTTGTTATGGAGCCAGAGTGTCCACAGAAACTTGCCAAGTGAGGTCAGGATGACCTGAGTGACTGCAGGCTCAAGGCTTACATTTCATGCACAGTGAAAAATAATTGTGCCTAATTTTCCTGACATCTTAAACACTTTCTCAAATGGAAAACATGTCTGCCAACCAGGAACATCTGTGCTGGACACTTCCATGAATAAGAAAGCTATTGTGGTAAGAAATTGAGATTTAAAAATTTACTGTAGTTAGTGCTAAGCTAATATGTATAGAACCTGGTGTTTTGAAGGAATATATACCCATCACCCATCACAAGCTAATGTATATCCCACAGGCTTAGTTGTCATATGGGAAATTGTTCAAAAATAGATATCCTAGGTTGAGTAGCTTGAGATCAATCACATATGAAAGCAACAGTTTTATACAGTTAATTTTTGTAATAGCAAGGATGGGTTTTGAGACTACAAAAAAACAACTGGTTGGAAATCGCATTTTAAACAACTTCAGAATAAAAAGTATATTCAGAGGGATACCATTAGACAAGCAGCTAAGACATGACTCCTTCATTGTCATGACTGATACAACCTTTGCTAGACTTCTAATTTAAGTGGTATATTCTAGAACCTTCCAATTCAACCAGAAGGACTCAATTATAGGCATCTTTTACAGGATCATATTTTCAAAATCAAGAAGGAAGGGCATGCATGGCTCAAAGTGACTGGTATATGAAGTTCACTTGGATAAAAATCACAGAAAAGCTAGAAAACGTTTCAGAGAATTATATTGATAAGTTCTAAAGATATCTCCAAGGGTAGAACTTTATACAGTCAAACAGTGGTTTTAGAAAGGTATGTAAGTGTCAAGGATACCTTCTATCATGCCCTTTTATAGATCAGGGATGTCAATGTCAAAGGAGGATGCCATTGGTGGCAAAGCTCAAATTCTGAAAAAGTTAAACAGACTGAGACACCATGCCAAGCCAGCGTATGAGTGGCTGTCCAGTTTTCCACTCTGCTGCTCTGTGAGTTTTCAGATCTCTAGACTGAAGAGATGTACACTCTCATGATGTAAGTATCAGGCTTAGACAGGTAATCAGTCTTGGCCAGGGAAATGTTAGTGGAAAATAACGAAAGCAAAGGCTGTAAGCGTGTTTGTGCCACTGCACTCTCTGTTAATAAAGAGTGCTCTGAGTGTGTCTTGGGGAACTGCTGGCCACAGAAACTATAAAGACACGTGTGTTGAACTGACCTCCACCCAAAGCCTGGGCCCAAACCAAGCTGATATGCAAACTGAGCAGGGTTACATGTTTTTGTTGCAAACCCATGAGTAAGTAGAATCAGTTCCCTCTGCTGTGACCTAAGAGAAGCTTTTACATGATGATTGTGGCAATGCTTGACTAATAAAGAGATAATTAAAATAAAATTTCTAATCTGCCAGGGATTTCTTCTTTTTAATTTCCTCTCAAAATTACTAATGAAGTGCAAATCACTGAGGAGGGCTTAATTATATTACCTTTGGTATTGTTATATTCTTGTTAAAAATTTCCTCTTCTTCATGTACTAAGAAGCCTGCTTTTTTTTTTTATATGAAATGAACCTTCTTGCAAAATCATTTTACATACTTCTTTTAAACTACAAATTATCTTGCAAACATTAATATTTATTTTGCATAAATTAAAAGCAATTTATCATTTTTCACAGAAAATAATACATTATTAGATCTATAGTTATGTAATGTATGTATTTTTCTTGATTCAAAACAATAGTTTTCTTCCAACACATGGATGGAGTAGTTGCCTTACTCCTTTGGCCACGCTCATAGCACACAGTTGAACATGTTCTTCCATCAATACAACAAGGTTGAACATTCTTTACTGTTTCTCCTCAAACTATAGAGAACATTTTTGTATGTTGTATATGTAAGAATGAAGAGGGTTATGTACCATGAATACTGATAAAATTTTGATAGAATAACTTTGAAATTCTGTTATTTATTCTCTCTCCAATCTGTTTACTATTGGGTTTAATGTATTTCTATACTATATGGAGGGTGACTGAGGAGATGGATAATAAGAAATTACAAAGAACTGGTTTTTGAATCTCATTTCTCTATATTGTAGGCTAAAGTTCTTTCCATGATGGAACCAGTTCTCTAGTTTGTTCTTACGGTTAGATTTTCCCCAGGGTTGAGGTGAGTGGCTGGGAATGACAGTGATATTCAGTGAGAAACCCAACTGGAGGTATGGAGCTACTGAACAAGGCATCCAGTGTTGACCTCTGGCCTTGACACACATGCATACACAAATATATTCAAATATATATCTCACAAGTACACATAGAAATAATAATAAACTCAAAATAATATATAGTTACCCAGTAGAAACGTTATTTGTAGAGAGTGTTTTCATTCTGTTAACTCTGGATATGTATATTAAATCCAAATACAGTTTCTTCCTAGGGAAAAAACATCATTTACAGTTGGCACTTTGTCTGACATAAAAAAAAATCACATCCATTTGGCTTGAGATAAAAACATTTGAGGAGAATACTTTAATGTTACTCAATGACAAAAGAACTTACTCTCGCGACCCCCTTTCTGTCCATGTCCATCACCATTTCCTATGAATTGCATGTGTCTGGGCAAAGAATGAGGCATTTAGACAAAAACGAAAAAAAAAATACCCCACAAATAATAGTTAAAACAAGATTTCATGGCCTGTAATTCCCACAGAATTTAGCAAGCATTGAATCTAATCTGCATTACAAAATAGTTCATGTAAATGTTTTAGACACTGAGAAAGGGAGGGATAAAATTTTATTTCAAGTAGAGAGAATCAATTTAGCTGAATCAGTTTGATGACAACTGGCCTTCATTCAAATCAATTTCCCCCTAGTGAAAATAAAAACACTCCTCCTCTTAAGAATGGTTATGTAAAATTCTTTGCCTCTGATATATTGTGAGGGTACTTTTTGGCATAAGTAACTGAGAAAACAATATAATTTGAATCTACTTTGTGTAACAAAAAGTGCTATAGAAATTCTAGAAGAGAAAAGTTATTGAGATACAAATTAGTTTAAAAGAAAACACTAAAAGAAAAAACAATTTGTTCTTTTAAAAATTTCACTTCTAAGCCTCTGTGTAATGATTATTAAATTAAAGTACTCTTAAAAAGGACTTATAAAGGAAATGTAAGAATTTCCTATTCTAAAGTAAATGGGTATAAATGTTTGAGTTAGTTCATGTAACATGCAAACTCAAGTTAATTTTGAAACTAGCATGTCTTGAACACCTATTAGTAATATTCTCATACATGTACCCAGAGCAATGTATCTCTACAGTATAAAATTTGTAAAAATCAGGCTCCCAGGTATTGAAATCATGCTTTCTCCAGGCATATTGTTAAAGTAAGATTTTTACAAATATAGTGAATAATCTTTCTTCTTTCCACATCTACTTTAAACTTGACTAAATATGTAGTTATGTAGAAAACAAAATTAAAAATAGAGAATTACAAAAAAATAAGGCCTCTCAGCATTTAAAGAGCTGTCCTTTCTCATCTTAGTCTCTGGAAGTCCTTAACACCTGCAAATGTGACTTGCATGTGCTCTCTTGGATGGTTCTGCACTGGCCTGCTGAAGAACAAGGGTGTGGTTGGGGGTTCCAGATTAGATCCAGATTTTGCTCTCTGGGAGGAATAAGCTTGTCTATCTATCATTTTCCATGACTGTTATTTATCTTCTAGAAAATTCTTCTTTGCTTCTATGGACAGGAGTACGCTGTGCGGAAGTAATTATTTTCTTTCTGATAAAAATTGTCTCCTTGGCAACTTTTGATAGCAGATCTTTCCCAGTGTTTCAATGGATTCCTTAACCACCTCACAGGAGATTTCCACCATTGGATTCGTTATCTATCTCACAAGAGATGCCCATCATTCTGGCCTACTTTCAGGCAGAATCCTGCAAAGTCAGTTTAGTAAGAGTGCCCCTTAGCCTTGGTTGCTCTTAGCGATTTTCCATCCATGGGAACTCATCCTACTCCTTGGCTACAATTTCTCCCTTTGCCTTAATTACTTGGAATTGAGCTTGATATTCACCCTTACAATGGGCCCTATCTTGTCAATATTAGATTCCCAATACTGTCTGTCTTACTTCTTAATATACATCATCAGTAGATTTTTCTCTTTGGTGGATAATGTGCAAGTTTTGTGCAAAAAAAAAAAAAAAACCTACATAAATTGCAAGTTTGAACACCTAATGTTTATTTTAATTTTAGTATAATAGAGCAACTTTGCTTTGCTATTTCTTATTTGGAGTTTCCTCTGAACATATTTCCCTTATGATGTTTTGCGTGTGTGTGTGTGTGTGTGTGTGTGTGTGTGTGTGTGTGTGTGTGTGTGTGCATTTTGATCTCTTTGACTCTCACAAGCAGCTTTGCCAAGCATCCTCAGAACCAATTTTCAAGCTAGATTGTCTTCAGTGTTAGCCAATCTGTGGCTTCTGGAAAAGAGGGCTTATTGGGAAAGTTGATCTTCCCATTCTTTTTAAATTCTACTTGCAGATTATTTTTTCTATGATCTCATGTTTATTAAGGTGACATTATTTGCAACTAACAATGACAATTCCTGGAGTCAGCATTCTGCTTCAAAACTTGCCCACATATAGAAAGTTAAGCAGGTATTCTATTCGACCTTCTTGGCTACCCCAGTGAGAGTTCTAGCAAGTGTATTTCTACCTTATTATATTGTTACTATTGTTTCTGCTTTTCTTTTCTCTGCCCACTACCGCTTTTTCTAATAGTGTCTTTGCTATTCACTGCTCTGTTTTGAAGCTGGGAGTTGGGATGGTAGTTGATGGCAGTGATCTACTTCCATTATTACTATTATTTTTTAATTTGATCAGCAAATGCCAAACCAATATTAGATAACAAATAACCATAAAATGTATGTACTTTTGGTTATCCAGAACTGTAGGCTATTCTCTAGCTCAAGGCTGAAAATTTGATTTAGACATGTACTCAGACTTTCTACAATTCTCTTGCATGAACAGCTACCCAGATATAATTTTCTAAACGAATAGGAGATAAATGCATCAAGGCAAAACCACTTGATAATTTCTGGGGCATCTGGTCAAGTGTGTTATTTAAGATTCTGCTATCTATAGAAAATCTCATGGGAAAGTCAAACATGGACCAAGTAAGGAAAGCTATAACACCCACTTCTGTGTCCTTTAGAATCAGACAGTGATGGATTAAAAAGTCAACATTTATTAATCCATCTTCCTAGCATCCATCAAGTCTCTTATTCATTCTACACTAACCAGAGTCTTAATATAATATAATATATATTAAATATATAATATATATATAATATATACTTATATTGGTCTTTTGGGGATGGCCTACTCTTTCTATTTACATGATAATATAAAAGCAAAACAATGTCTTTAATCATGAATCCCAAAAAAGTGAAGCCTTTTATAAAGATATTTGAAAAATTGCCCTAGTAGTCATTTATACACCCATTTCTTCATAACATATTTAAGGATCATAATACACAATGCGTCATGACAACAATCATTTTCCCCATTTTCTTGTGGTAGTTATTTATGCAGCAAGTATATTATCTTGTTAAGATATGTTGTAAATAAATTTTATTAGTTGGTCAAATATATTTGACTAGATGTGTTTTTGATTCATATAGATTTGAAATTAGCAGGCATATATTTTTATTCAATTGAATTATTATTTATGATTTTGATTATGAATTATGAATATGAATAACAGAAAATTTGAGTGAAATCTTGAATAGATAGGAATAAGAAGAGGTTAATATATATCCAACATGCATACACATGATAGAAAACAAGTGTCGCTGTGTTATCATATAAATCACAAGGGCAGATGTTAATTTTCATCATAAATTCTAAAATTGAACTAACAAATTTTTAATTTGTGATTTATAGAAGCAAACAAGGGAAAATAAGCAAAATTAAAACTTGGAACTAGACTAATTAGTTTTTTTTATCTGAATTGTCAATGTTCTCTAGAAACAAGGGTTCAAATGTGTTTAGTGTTCAATTTCCAATCACAGGTAGTTCAAAGAGACAGCAGGCTAATCTTTAGCTGTCCATTCTTCCAAATTCTTGACTTGTTATGACTGAAGAAACTAGGATGGAAGATCATTACTTTTCTGAAACACAGAAACATTGCTGGGGGTGTGATTTCCCAGAGGGGAGCGACTTGGAAAGCTGAGTTGGCTGCAGTATGACAGCTATGCCAGACACTGCATGCTGCTTCATCAGGTGTCCAGGTGCTGTGTGTTCCTCTCAGTACAAAGCAGATGACAAGTTGAAGATGACCAGGCCTTTCGTAGAAGCCAAAAATGTAGCTTTTAGCCTACACAGTAAGAGCATTATCAGTGTGAATGACAACCCATGACACTGGTGGCAGGTAGTCAAAATTAATACCACTGGATTGTTTCTGTAGTGGTTTTCTTTGGGATGATTAGTGTGTGTGTGTGTGTGTGTGTGTGTGTGTGTGTGTGTGTGTGTGTGTGTGTGTGTGTGCCTATATGTGAGATGTGCTAATGAGTTTAAATAAGGACACATGTGTAATTTATGTCAAAGGGTTTGATGAAAGTATAATACTTGTGCAAACATGTATTTGTTCCTGACAGTAGCACACTTTATTATATTAAACTCACATTCCACATCTTCATTAGGAAACCAAAAATAGACAAGTTTACATGAAAAATAACAGAGATATTTTATTTAAAACATCTTTTAAAAATATTTACTTTAATAATCTCTCTAAGCTTGTTAGTGATGAATGTATTTAAGAATTCAGTGTTAATATAAAAGAGATGCTCTCCAGTTATACCATTAAGGGGCTCAGCATTATACTATAAAATAATTAGGCAGAGGAAACTCTGAGGAATTTGAAAAAAATCATTTTGGTAACCAAATGGTCATGATTTTACATTGCAGAAGCTAAAGATTGTTTAATGTCATGAAACATAAGACAGAACATCTGAGCAAGATCAGGCAAACTATTATTGAATTCCACTCCATAATTCATATTATTCAGCTCTTTGGTTCACTTTCATCTTATAAATCATTAAATCACTACCAGCCAGTCACTGTCTGCCTTTTATAAATATTTCTAAACACAATTATTATTCTCTATGTATCATTTGTACGCATGTTGAAAATGGAATGCCAGCTTTTCTTGGAACCAATATGTCCATATTGTTGATATTTAGAAGAAAAGATGAAAAGAAATGTAAGATGGAAAAAGTCTTTGATATTTTGGTAATTTCTCATGAATGAAAATAATAATCATAGTCAGCCCACTACTTTTTAAAGAACTAACTGTGAAATATGATAAAAAAATTGAAACACCAAAATAACAAAAACTTAATCATAACTTGTTTGACCCTCATATTTATTCATAGATA